ATCATGTCTGCTGCTCATTGGTATATAGAACTATATTTACTCATTTTCAAGGTTTGAAATTGATTCCTATGCATTGGGAATTGTGTTTGGCATAAAATGGAATCAGCTTGTTTGGCCCAATTTTGTTCTTTAATAAAACCTCATAGCTATATGTGGGAATGAGTTCACTAAACTTGGACGGGTATATATTTTATCAGATCAAGACTCCAATCTATTGCGTTGTAACTTCATGAGAACTATAAAACCACCCAGCTACGCAAATTACAAGTAGTCAAATTTAACAATAAATATTTATTTTAAATTTAAAATACCAAAAATAAAAAATTGGAAAACATTGTTATGGTATTAAAATCAATTAAAACATTAAAAACTTGATTATTCCAATTGAAATTTCAAGAACCAAGTTAAAACATGACTCATGAAGAGTATAAAGCTTACAACTCTCAAATAAAAATTGTACTTCAACCTAGGCAACATACAACGCACGTGTGTACCAACTAGTTACTAATAAAAGTACTTTAACATTAAAAATTTTTGATTCACTATTTTATCCTGATAAAGAATTAAAAAAGTCATTATATCCTTTCACGCTTAATATCTAAATTACTATCATATCCCTATACATTTAAATATTCAAATTACATCTAAGATCACTTTTAATTATATATTCTCTATGTATAAATGTCAATTTTTATAAAAAAAAATTAATTGATTATATTACTCTTAAAAAATATATGCATCATTATAAGTTTTAACATAATATTCAAAAAAAAATTCAAAAATTCCATCAATATAATATTATTCACCTTATTTATAAATATAATATTATGATTATATATTTATATTTTGTTTTTCATCAAAATGTTTAACCCTGTCATTTTTAAGATAAAAAATAATCTATATATAGTTTTACATAATTTTTTAATCACAATAAATTTTTCAGACCGTGTTAAGATTTTATGTAAAAAGCTTGACTTTTTTATTTTATTTTAATATGTTTTATAATATATATATATATATATATATATATATATATATATTATAGCATTGTATATTAAATTTTATCCCAATTGATTTAGATAATCCTAAATACAATAAGGTTTCAATATAATTGGTCTATTGATAATTATTTTTATTTTATTTAATGATTTATAAGTGTAATTTTAATCAAATTGATTTTTTAATGGGAAAATGGTGAAAAGATACACCATTTCATACCTATTTGTATAAAAGTACTTCAATATAAAATATATGTGTATAAACATCTTTATGTGTAAATGTTTGGTGAAGAGGTATACTTTTGCTCAATTGTAATTTTTTCTCTTACTAAATTGCCATTTTCCTTTATTAATGGGAGACAAATATGACAGTTATATAGGGATTCAGATTCCTAATTTTATGATATATCTTTTTCGAATTTTAAATTACCTATTCATCTATAATTGAACAACCGTTTATTAAAATATTCATTCCATATTTATTTCTCTATCATTCAAACCGAAAATATCTGTCAATGACACCCTCCCGCCAATCAATATTATCATACTATAAACCAAAATGTCACAGTGATACCTTCTAATGACAATGGTACCAGCAATGACACACTGTTACCAGCCAAAATTCACACTATTATCATCCAAAAAGTCACACTACATTTATATAATTTTTTTATTTATGTCTTCCCTACATTTATATACTTTTTTTTTTATTTTTTTATAAATCGTAATGAGTAATATATATTTTCACCTTATGTAATACTATTGATTGTTACGAGTGTTTTTTTTTTCATGAATATTTTATATTTAAATTTAGTACAGTGGTACATGTCACATTGACACAGTGATACACAATAATGTCACAATGCTATAAGCCAATGTCACACTGCTATAAGTTAATGTCACACTGATATAAGCCAATGTCACACTAGAAGGGATGTCAGTGATATTTTTGATAATAGATGAAGTGTTCTTAAAGATATAATAAACTAGAAGGGATGTGGTTTAAATTTTTCCAAAAAATCATTACACCTCTTGATCGCTGCCTCCATGGTCTGCAAGCCTTAAAGAAGATGAATCCTCTCAAAACCTTTTTTTTTCATGTACAGATTCATGGTGGTTTCTGATGAGCTCGAAATTAACTGGGCTTGACCCAACAAATCAAGAAGATCCAAGTCAATAAAATACGACCCGGGCCCAACAAGTCAAGAAAGACCAAGACACCAACGCCCAAGGAGGCCACCCTAAGGGGCCTACGTCACCGAAGTCCAAAAGGAGTCCAAGTCATCAAGAAAGAGTCTGAGACGTCAAGGAGGAGCCTAAGCCCAAGAGACACCCTCAAGGGGGTGCCACCCAAGAGGCGCCGTCCAGATGTTGGTCCTCTACCTCTCCTTCGCCCTCTTCTCTTTGCCATTCTGACTGAAGTCCAAGCTCATGATCAAATCCAACCTAGCTCAGAGTCCTGCTTCGACGGAATATGGACACGAGGGAGAAAATATTGGGATACAGAGATCTACTCCTACCTTAACGGTGCTTACCAAAGAGGTCCACTCCTACCATAATTGTATTTACCAAAGTGGTGGAAGACTCCTTCCTCATGTCACCGTCTCACCGCCTTACCTTATCTATATAATGTAAGCCCTCTTCACATAGAGAGGAGGATGATGATCACCTCTTTGAGACCTCTACACACACTACACCTCTCTACACACATCTCTCTCTCTCAAAAGCATTGTAACTCTCCGGAGACCATGATTCATCAATAAAGAACACTAGACCACCGCTGTCATTCCCAAGAGTGGAGTAGGTCATCCGGACTGAACCACTATAAATCCCTGTGTTGATCTATTATTTATTGTTTTACTCTTAATTGTCATTGATTGCTTGTTTGTCACTCATTAATTACACCCTTACACATACTTGACTGTTGATCTTGCACGAAGACAGTTTTGTGCATCATCAGTTTCTACAATCCACGACCCTCCTTTGCGATCCACCTCAACATGGAGAATGTTCGGAACCTTGTGCTTTAAGTCCTTAGAGAGTTTTGCTATCTCGATGAGTCCTCTTGATCAGAAACAAAAGAATTTGGATTCTGTTGATACTTTAATCGAGAGTTGATTTTTTAATAAGAGAAAATCGTGTGGATCCATTGGAATTAGGATGTTTTGAAAAGAATAGGGTTTTAGGGAAGTTTTCTTATCAATCTTGGAATATTAGAGGTTTCGTCGATATTGAAGGAGTTTTATGAGTAACAGTTGATATCCATGATATTTCGGTTGTGGAGACAAAAAATATAGGAATTGGTTTTCATTTTACTGAAGGGGGTATTGAAAAGATTTGTTAGGGATTATGTACTTTTTGACCTATATTTTTAAAAGTGGTACTTTTTGCCCTATAATTTTTAAAAAGAGTATCGGCCCCCTTAAAACCCTTTTTTAATTATCTATTCTCTATTTATAATTGTCAATTTTTATGAAACTTTTTGATTAATTATATTATTCTTAAAAAACACATGCATTATTATAAGTTTTAAAAAAATATTCAAAAAAAACCTTCAAAAACTCCATCAATATAATATTACTCATCTCATTTATAAAGATAATATTATGATTACATATGTATATTTTATTTTTTTATCAAAAATGTTTAACCATTTTAAGATAAAAAATAATGTATATAAAGTTTTACATAATTTTTTAGTCACAGTAAATTTTTTAAATTCTATCAACATTTTATGTGAAAACTTGTATTTTTTAAAAATTTTAATATGTTTTATAATATATATTATAACATTGTATATTAAATTTTATCTTAATTGACCTAACTAATCCTAAATATAGTAAAGTTCCAATACGACCGGTATATTGATTATTTTTTTTATTTTATTCAATAATTTATAAGTGAAATCTTAATCAAATTAATTTTAAAAAAATTAATTTTCAAACATCACTAAAAAATCACTTTTAATTACAAAATTATAGAAACAAAATAGAACGTTAATTATTCTTTTTAATTTTTTATTATTTTTCTTAAAATTAGAACAACAAATTTTAAAAATATACAAAATTTTTAAAAATTCTATAACGGAACATGCCAGATGAAAAAATAAATTTGGTAAATTTAAGATGATATTTAATTTAAGTACATATATCAAATATTTATTTATTAATTTTTTTGAAAGAAATTATTCACGTGCAACACACGTGGTGCATTATTAGTTTTAAAAACGTATACTAATCGTATATTTATTGTATATTTTTTATACGATAAACTTGTATTATGAATATATTTTAATATCACCAATAAATGTGGTATTATAATCCAACTCAAACTCATTATTTTACACATTTATTATTATAACTCCTCAACTGATAAAATCAAGTTGTCATCAATGTAACTAACACTGATAGAGGATATTTTTGTTAATTCAACACTAATACAATGAAATAATTCCGTAACCAAACAACTGATTGGATTAAATAACTACTATCCAACATTTATGTTATATATTGTTGAACACTAGATAAAATTACATATTATTCTAATACTCTATTTAATTTTGTCTTTTATCTATTTGTATTGTATTAGACTGAATTACTATATCTAGTCCATTTATTTCTAATACGGCAACCAAATAAGCCTATATATTGCATCATGTTACCCATTAACTCGATCTTTTTATTGGGATGATGTACCATCCGAATTGAAAAACTATGAGTGCACCACCTGGTGGCATTTAGATTAAATTGATAAAATAATATTTATTCTAGTTTAATAATTAGTAATTCTGGTAATGATATTTAAATTTAAAAATAGACTTTATTTATTAATTTAATGATGTAATTTAATTAAAATCATTTGATAAAAAATAAGTTTTAATATTTAATAGAATTTATAATTAATCTAAAGATTATATTGAATGAGGTTAATAAATAAGATGAAAATTTTAAACTAAAATAATATTACTCCACATCGGGTCAGGCCCAGTCCATGGGGACTGGGGATGCCCTACCTATAAATTGTTTCTCTCTCGTCAGTCCTCTTCCTCTCCCTTCCTTCGATTTGAGTCACGAGGGTTCCAAGAATCAGATATGCCAATTTTCCAATTTTAATCGTTTCATCATGAGTGGAAGGAAGACTCATTCTCACTCTTAGAAACAATCCCCTCTTTCAGCATCGTTACCTGTATCACTTGAAATTCTTCAATGAATTAAGGTACCATGTAAATGCCAAGGAAAATGCATTTTACTCATTTCTTCGAACAAGCTCTAGCTCCACAGACGTCTCAAACTCTGGCGAACAACCTCCTCCAGCTGCAGCGACATCTCCATCTCCGGCCAACACTTTTATTTCCTGCGAATACCTCTATATCCGGCGAAGCAGTAAGCTCCCTTTTCTCCGCAACATTTTTCATTTATTTTTAGATCTAGGATGATGCTGTTCAGATCTCGGTGGTGGTGGTGGGTTTCGGTGGTGGGGTTGGGTGGTGAGATTTGAGGTTGGGTGGTGGTTTTGGGTGGTCAGTGGGGTTGGTGGTGAATTATTGGTATAATACAAAACAGGTTTTTTTATTTTTGTTTTCACAATTTATATTAATGTGTTATATTTTTAATTTTTATCACAGAAAAACAAAAACTAGTTTTTTTTTAATAAAAAAACATAAAAACGAAAACATTAACAAATCCACCCTAAAAAATCACCATAAAAAATTGTACAGTTTAGAACTTTTTTTCCCCCCTCTTTTTCTTTACAAGTTACAGTAGATGTAATCAAGAAATATGAACCCCAATATCAGCGGAAGATTAGTCTGCATAGAACTTCAATTTCAACCTAGAGTTGTGTAACCGAGTTTAAAAATTCATGCATTGAAGTACCAATCAGGTTGAATTCGATATAATTCTTGTCTTTTGACTGTTTGTTTTGGACTCTTTGTGTAGAGAGGGAGAGAGAACCTGAAAGCATCGTCCATCAACTTTTCTTTTTTTTTTATCTCTATCTTTCTTTTTTCATGTCCCGTAATTTATATATTACTAGAGTAACTCGTGACATCACGGTGCAATGCAGAGGTGGATTTAAAGTGGGGGGCAGCTGCCCCTACTGGAATTTTTAAAGTATTTGGGGAGTTAGGTGATATTTTAGAATATGTTAAAAGTTGCCCCCACTAGAATTTTAAAAATGTTTGGAGAGTAAGATAAAATGTTTGAAATTTTAAAATATGTTACAAGGTTCCCCCACTGAAAATACTTTAAACTCAAGACTAGTCATGTATTTTCTCAAACATGTGGGGTTCTTTAGTCTTAGCAACAACAAAAAGTACTTCTACTTTTACTTTTCAGAGATCACAGCTAAGAACTTCACTCCTACAATTCTAGAATTGGTCTCCCTATATATATATTTGTTGTGCTATTTTTGTATGTTAAATTAATATAGAGAATTGCAAGTTGTTAAATTTAATGACATTGTTATATTTAGAATTCACATGTTGTGGACTATTTTTTGGATTAAACCATTTGGTTCGATGGGCTTGAGGAATCTGATTGTGAGAAATTAGGATGTTTATATGTCTAAGTTTGATTTACTAGACTTGTATTTATGTTAAAAATTGTTTGATTTCCTAAACTATTTTGATTGATTGGGATTGAATAATAAATTATTTTTGATAAATACTTCTCAATAAGGTACATAGTAAAAAGTCGAGAGATCAATAGATGAATGATTACTTGGCTACATATGTTGAGAAAGAATTTTCAAATATCATTTGTGAAAACTTGTTGAAACGATTATGAAGATTTTCAAGAATTTGGATTTTTTCATGTGTTGAATCAATTCATTATTGGGCACTATTTTTTTGATACAAAAGTATTTTTTTGGTACAATTTTATAGTGGACTTTTTTTGTGAACTCTTTTTGTATATTACTTGTATATGTCATTTCGATGAAACTATACTTTTGTAAAATAGTATTAACACTCCGAGTTTGAGCATTCATATATTGAAAGTTGCCCCCATTATAGTTGAAGTCTGGCTCCGCCCCTGGCGCAATGTGAATAGTTTTGAGTGGATGTTGGTTGACGATGAGTTTATTTGAGAATGTCGGACTTCAACCCTTTTTTATATTATAGATTACGTTATTTGTTGTTCCTTTTCTACCTTTTTTATACTAATTTTTTTTCTAGATTATTAATTTGACTTGAATTTGTGACCAACCTAGTGAAGTGAAACATTTTGGTTTTAGATAAATTGGAATTGAAATATAAGAACACTTTCATTAGATGACATGGTTTTTTTAAAGCGTTTGGTGATAATGAAGCAAATAGATGTAATAAAAGACAGTTTCCTGTCACAACTTGCCATGCCATCTAAGTTTCAGGTTTGATTTGTTTTGATTAGTGGTGTTTTTTGTTACTATGTTTTTTTTTAAAATTTTTAGTATTGTGTATGCTGTTATTTTGGTTTGTTGAGTTTTGTTTTAAGTAGATTGAGGATTTTGGATTAATATACAAATTGTGTAGTGGAATCTTTTTGAGTTTATTTTTAGTTGATTGAAAAGGGGGTTTTGGGCTAGTTTGAAGCTGGAGCAGATTTTAGTTAGCTTTGGTTATCATACTTTGGGATTTATTTTCTGGGTTTCATGACTATGGCATGACATTTAGATTTTGTAATTGTTTATTTTCTTATCATGTGGATTTTGGAGTTTTGTATTTTTTGCGATGTTTGAACATGTGATCCTTTCAAACTATTAGGTAAGAGCAATGATGTATGGTCGTAGAGTTTCAGTCAATGTCTTTGGAAGTCAAGAGAACTCTCAAGCATTCTATAGGAGCAGAGGACCATCGACTATTACAATTCCTTTTAGAAAGTGCAAAGGTTTGGTCCAGGTGTCACCTGCAGCTAACCAGAAGATGAATTATTTAGTTGGGTCCCAAAATATTGCAGCACTCTCCATCATGGTACTTGAGACTTAAACTATCATTCTCTGCTATCGTACATTCGTATAATGGTGTTAAAGATTTATCAGCTTTTAATTTTGGGAAATTTCAGAATAGGTACATATTCATGGATTTTTTTGGCTTTAGGTTCAAGTTCAACCTTAAAATCAACTCTTAACAAAAATATCCTTAATGAAGTAGTTTATTAAAAAATCTCGACCGTTATCTTATTTTTATATTTATTATCACTTCAATCAACACCACCACCATCACCATTGCCCACCACCAGCCACCACCACTATTACCACTCATCACCACCCACCACCACCACTGCACAACCATCGCCGTCATCGTTGCCATGCACCACAGCCACCTAAAACCTACCCCAACCACCACCACCACCACTACTGGCGCCTCCATCCACCACCACCATCGTTGCCCCTACAAATAGTGATCTAAAGAGTGAAATCTTGTTTGGGGGTGTGAAAGATAGAGGGTGGTGGTGGACTTGGCACTGGCAGGTGACGTGAAAGACTAAAGGCACACTCAAGATAGTGAAAGATAGAGGTAGAGAGTGTCTTTAGTTCACTAGTTTTGTAGTTCACTGTCTTTTGAACTAGGAGATTTGTGTGCGTCTATGTTGTTAACTTTTTGAATCAATTGTTTAATATGTGTAGTTCTGGAGGATCTTAGAAGTTCGATTTTGTAACGTTGAAGGTCCCATTTGAATTTTGTGAAATTTATAGAGTAGAAGTAATATTGTAATACAAAAAGAGAAATACTAGTTTGAACTACAAGACAACAAAGATGGGCTAAGTTGGACTTAATGACTTAAAAAGTCCTTGTCTAGACTTTTTAACAAAAAAGTTTAGTGTCATTGAGCAGGACTATTTAATACCACCACCACCCATCGCCACCACCCACAACCACTGTCACCACCCACTACCCACCACCCACTACCCACCACCCATTACCCATCATCTACACCCTTCACCACCATCCAAAACCCATGGCAACCACCCACAACCAAGACCACCACCATTATCATTACTCGCCACCGCCAACTCCATTGCCATCCAACATCACCATGACCATTTTTTTTCTATAATATATGTTTTGGATATATATTAAAATTTGAGATATAGAGAAGCTTTTTTTGAGTTTTATAATTCATCCCAAATGCCACCTCAAAATCTTCTTTCATTCTTAAATTCTTTTTTCTCTCATCTCTCTTTGGTCATCCCACACGCACACTAAAAGACAGTGAAATTAAAGATAGTGAACACAAATAAACTGTGCTTAAGTAATAAATTTGATTAGATTTTAATAACTTAATTAAGACATTTCATTTGAATTGAGAAACATATATCGAAAACAATGAACTCAAAAAATTGAAAAAATGTTTAAGAATTTTAATTCACACATCAAGAAGAAACTTCTTGTTCACTGTCCAAAATTAACCATTAGATCGACAATAGTTATTTTTTACTTCGGTTTGAAATTTGTGAGAAATTTAGTCTCCTAAATGTCCATTATCTCTACGATTTTTCAACAACTCGAAACTAAAAAATATAAGATTCAATAGATGAATTGAAAAAAAAAAATCGCCTAAAAATTGTGAAAAAAGAAAAACAGATATGAAGACTGGATCACCATTAAATGGAACATCTAACTGACATGCATTGCATAAGATCTATACAAAAACTGTGTAGTCAACAAAATCCAAATAACAGTCAGAGTAGCAGAAACGAGGTACTACAATATCACAAAGCAATTAACCTACATAAATCTTAGAAATCTACAAAACAAAGACAAACCAGGGAACCACATATATAATAGAGGTCATATTTCTGAGGATTCACTGTTCAAACTTACGTGGTTACTGCCTAAAGTTTCAGGATTAGTTTGAAATCTGTGATAGCCTAACGCATTGATGTGCTTCCAATCAAATCTTGTTCGCTCCCCATGTTTTCGAACCCCAGCGTTGGTGGTGACCTAGATAGTTGCCTTCACTTTTGGCATGCCTTAATATCATTTTTATTTTACACTCATTGGTTTACAATCAAAAAAGAAAGGAATGAAGTTTTCGGTGACTGAAAAATGAATGAAGTTGATGATAAAATTTATGCAATTTTATTGCATCTTTAAATTGAACTTATTGCATGCACTAATTAAGGTTAGTAACCGTGTTTTTCTCAATTTTTTATGGGGTGCTTTCAACACAAATCAGTTTTTTCAACGAAAAATGGATTGTAATATATTTGGAATGTATTTTGTAAGTAGACTAGATATTGCGTAACTTGGCTTCGTTGATGTAGGCGTGCTTTTTTTTATTTTTATAATCTCTTGCAGGTAAATGGTTGTACTGGCAAAATGGGCAAGGCGGTACTTGAAGCAGCTGTCTCTGCAGGAATTCATATTGTTCCAGTATCATTTGGTGGTCTAAAAAATGCTGGAAAAACTGTGCAAGTGGGTGGAAAAGATATTCAAATGTATGGTCCCTATGAAAGAGAACGCATTCTAGCATCTATCTTAAATGATTATCCAAATTTGATTGTGGTGGATTACACAGTGCCTGCTGCAGTCAATGGTAAACATCTGTCAAACTTCTGGAGAAAAGGGTAATGAAATTTAGATCTCAAATAAATTATGGTCAAAAGCAAGAAGAAATATCTTGAATATTTAGAAGAGAAGCACTGTTGTTGTCATTTGACTTGCTTTAAGATATTTATCAACTAAGAAATTGCTACACTAAAAAAAAAGGGGGCATTACACAATCTGATCTGAGGGATGGGTGGACTGGTGGCGATGTGGAAAAGTTCCATAATCTTGTAAATATGAAATGTTGTTTGGTTTTTCTTGTACTTTTTGGTTCCACCCTTTTGTACTTGCTTGAATTACTTATGCACCACCATTTCTTTCACCTTTCTTGTATTGATAAATTTGGTTTGTTATCCAAAAGGAAAAAAATACACGTTATGGAAATTGACAGGATAGGTCATGAGGATTAATATGCTGTCATGCTTTGATTATTTGCCTCAAGTTGTCCAGATTTCTCTATCTGAATCCAAGAAGAAAAAACTGAATTTCAGAAGCTATTTTCGTCTTACCTTGTATAATTTTTTTTTTTTTTTGTAATGTTCAATACTTAATAGTTCAATCGGAATATAAATTGAGAGCCTAATGTACATATGTTGGAAATCTATGGATTATCTCCAATATATAGATAGATATTTTGTTGCCTTTCAAATAGTATACTTACGCAATAATTCTTATGTATTATTCAGTATGTAGTATTTACCATGATTTTATGCGAACATTACTGTTTCTATACAATTGTGAAGTGAGAAAATTACCCATTACTTTTTTAATGATGCACATATGTTTACTGTTACAAATGTCCTTGTACCTTACCTTTCAGATTGTGTGGGATTGAGACTAACTGCATATTTTAGTAGGAACATAGTGCAAAAGACAATGCAGAACTTTACTTGTTACAGGCAAAGGAAGGTGCTAGTTTTTTTCCACGAATGACATATTTACCCCTTTGATATCTACATGATATATTGGCATGTTACTTTGTGGATTCTTCATTTTTTGTTCTGCAATATTTCTTTCTTAGAGATCTCTAACCTCGAGGTGTCCTTACAATGTAGATTTTAGCTTAATAAAAAATAATGGACTTTATAATTGCTCTAAGGTATTCAAATTGTAGTTGTTGGATTTGCAAACATAAAGCAAATTTTCCCCTAATATATCCCACCATTTACATAGACTTCTTAGTGGGGACTGATTGGGTGATGATACTGTTGAATAGTTTGCACTTAAGCCAATTTGAAAATCTTCTTGTGAACTTGAAAACTGAGTTCTGCATTCCACTGAGCTACTTAGAATCTATGTATTGAAGTTTTTGTTGCCATACTATATACACAGATAATGTTGAATTATATTGCAAAATTGGCGTTCCTTTTGTAATGGGAACTACTGGTGGAGATAGAAATCGGCTTTATAAGACAGTGGAAAGCTCAAAGGTTTATGCTGTGATCTCTCCCCAAATGGGAAAACAGGTTATCAAAGCTTAGTACCTGTATATTGGTTGCATTATCTCTGTGATGCTATTATTTTGTACTTGATGTTTTAGTAAAACCTTACTTCACTGGTTTCATTTAGGTAGTGGCATTTCTTGCAACCATGGAAAATATGGCGAAACAGTTTCCGGGAGTTTTCTCTGGGTACACGCTACAGGTACTTCCGCTTTCTGCTTCCTCTTGATTCGGTGGTCAAATGTTCATGGTCACTTTCTTGATTTTATTGTTTTTAAGTGAACCTAGAGACCTTAATCTTATTCTAGAGATCCTTAGTCTTATGGTTAATCCTTAACCTTAATATGTCAGTCTGAGCCGAAAAAAAAAAACTTAAAGATGTAAGAAGGTACAACCAAGAGATTTATGTGGCTTGAAATCAAGGGTTATATGATATTTTGTAATATTTTTTTATAATATTGTGTTATTTTGAATATTACAAAATAAAATGGGAAATGATTATAAAGTATCAGTGAGTCAACATATTGAGCCCCAATCCAGTGAGCCAACCCACCGCCAATTTTTGTCTCTGAAATACATTTGACCACCATGCAGATCATCCACCACTGCCTTCTCCAGTCACCATAAACCTCCCTAACCCAAAAGCCTAAACTATGTAAAAAATTTTCTAATTTAGATGCTACCTTCAATTCACCCCTCCTCCCTATGATCACTCTATGAAGAACCCTTCAAGAACACACCGCCACAACACACTCTCTTTGTGAAAATTATGATCCCTACTACAGAAAAATGAGTGAATTCAATACCTGGAACCATGACCATCTCTGATTTTTAGGTATGGAACAATGCTTACCTTTGGCAATGGTGAATCCAAAGACCTGGCCATGGTAAGGACTTCTTGGCCTCTTGTGGGACCTGTTTTTGTTCCTGTGAGACCTGTTTTTGTTAATCAATGTGTCTGGTGCCCTTGACTCTGTTTCAAGTGAACCGACTAACTGTCATTTGAAGGGCTCTAGCTTGGTTGTGGGAGTTGGTTATGGGAGATTGAAGGGTTTTGGGTGGGGGAGGAGGTCCTAATTGGGGAAAGAGTGTCTGGAGTCATGGGGTCGTGGGGATTGTTTGGCAACAAGTTTAGGAATGTTTGACACCATGGTTTTTGTTTTGTCTTGGAACACATTTAGGTTTGTTTGGCAAACTAAGCTGGAAGAATTTTGGTGTTTTTGATCTAAACTAGCCCATGGCTCGGTCATGTGTGGGCCCTGTGAAGGCTTTCTGTAACAAAATTTTATCCAAATTGAGTGGAAGGACTTGATTGAAAAACATGGAAAACTTGGAGGATTTGATTGTTGCAATTGAAAAAAAAAACTTACTTTAAAAAATTTCCATTTAATTGTTTGTGATTAGTTATAATTTAGATTAAAGACCGAATATTTAGCAATTATATAGGCTATTTATCATTTGAGATATGTTACTGCCACCATCTGTTAGCCTGAGTTAGGCCAAGATAGATATGGTTAAATGTGGAGTGTTGTATTTGAGCATTAATTATGTTTATTTCATTCTTAACTTGGTGTACTTAATTCATTGGCTTGATATTCTTATCCTTCTTACTCATTCTATACATCTATGCATCCTTTCTTTCCAATATTCACCACAAACGTGATGTAAGAAAAATTCTTCTTTTGGTGTCAAATTTTGCGATTACTAGCTTGTGACATCTTAGTTATTTACTGGCTTGAAGCTCTGATATTTTAGCTTCTCATTCTTCATGTTGTCTAAAACATATTAAACGCATTAGGTTAAGGATGACTTTTCTTTTTTCCTGATATTTTGCTGATATGTCATAGTGAAATTTGATGTTTTACTAAGGTGATGGAGTCACATCAAGCTGGCAAACTGGACACATCTGGAACTGCCAAGGCTGTCATTTCATACTTTCAGAAATTGGGGGTCTCATTTGAAGTAGATCAGGTGTGTTTGGGACATGATAGTACATAGTAGTATCGGATTTTCTATTTATTTCTCAAGAATGACTAATGAATCATCAATGAAATACTTAATATTTATTTGGGTAAATGGATTTTGACGCTGTTTATATGCTTGAAAGGCTTCGGTTTGTCAATCTTTGTTGAAATATCCTAATAATAATTTGGGTAAATATCAATGACATCTTTCGTAGATTGATATAATTACAGAGACGATCCCTTGATTTTTGAAAATAAACTTTCATTCCCCTGTCAGAAATTGTCAGACAATGCAGAAAATGGGCAATGTCTTTCTACAAATTTGTCCCTAATGAAAAGTGACATTTTACATTTCTATTCTCCATTTTAAATATGTGTTGTGCGTGTGTATTTCGTCGGTCAATGTCTCCTCTCTCGTAGCCAAAACTTCAGCCCAACCCACCACCGCCGATACACCTGTAAACACATGCACAGGTTTAGTGTTGCCTCGAAGAGAGAAAGACGATGATTTCCAAGCTTTGAGTTCTTGCAGTGTTGATGAATCTGTGACAAGCTCCACTTGCAACAAGCCCCCAAACTCTATCTCTACTCTCACATACTATATGTCATATAAAAACAGAAGCAACAAAATTGAAGAATGATTGTGTTGGGGCCATGTGCGATGGTGATGGGTGGGACTGTTGGTGACCGGTGGTGCGAGGTATTACTGAGTTCTCTGTATGTAGGTTGGGGGGAACTTGGGTTCTGCCTGGGAGGGGAAGGTTCGAGGTATAGGCGTCCGGGGATGGGGGTGGGGGGGGGGGTTGTGTGTGTCTCTGGTCTTGCTCAGTTGTCTGGGGTGCTGGTATTTGCGATTATGTACAGCTGAAATTGCAGGCAATTGGGTGCAATTGAAGTTTTGTTGAAGGTTGTGGTTTTACTTGGATGAACTGATCCTTTTTACTTGAGGAAAAGGGTGGGCGAGATGTTTGCTAACTGTTTTGTTCTGGATGTTGCAAGTGTGGGTGCCATCATACAGTCTGTATTCAGCTACCCTGTTACTAGACACAACACTTGCCTTCTTCATTTGATTTGTTTCCAAGAAACATTTTTCTGTGACAAATCCAAAAATTCATTCCTCCTGTAAAATTGAAACAAAACATTAAGCAACCGGAAACTTGAAGAAAATACCAATTGACATCACATAAGTCCCAAATATCAATCCTAGACAATTCACTGCAGGTGATGAATCTATGGTGGAGTCCCTTCTTACATGCTGCAGGGGCTTTTCAGGCCAATCTCATCTATTTAAGGCCTTTAGAACCGTCTCTCTCAGCCAATGCTGTGCTGGTTCTTCTGCTTCTTGCTCTAATTCTATTCTACACTCCTTATCTTCCAATCTCAAGTCACTTCCACAGGTTGAACAATGTCATGCCCACATCATCTCTTTGGGTCATGATTAACACCCTATTGGTTTTCCAAACCAGTCACCTTCTACTCATCCCTCAATTTCCTTAGTGATGCCCATGTTGGAACTAATGACTCAAATATATTGCAGTCTTTAGAAATGGGCTTCATATGGAGACTCTCTCAGCCTCTAAACATATGGTAAGGGGACTAGACCTAATAACTTAACCTTACTGTCTGCATTTGAAGCTTTGGTCAAGCATTGAATCAAGATTTTGGTGGATTCATAAATATATTGATGGAAACTATCTTGAGTGGTGCTTGTTTGTGCAAAATGCACTGGTCTCTATATATGGGAAGTGTGGTGTCCGTGGGAAATGAGTTACTTTTTAGCTTCTTTCTGGGCCTTAGTTACTAAGGAGTTTCAAGGAACTCCTCTATTTTGTTTTTTTGCAATGTGGAATGCTTCCTGCGATTTTTAGTTTGGTTTCCATGACTTCTGATTTATTATTCTTTTGGTTGTACAGCTTGTCCACTTTTATTGTATCCTTCTTATTTCTTGATTATTCACCAATAAATTTCTTGTTCCTTATCCAGAGAAAAAAATTTCACCCCTTTGGTTATACCATAACTATTTAGGGACTATGGGTCTCGTTATGGGTTTATGAGATAGTTTAGCATGATAGGTGTGTTATGGCATACTTTGTTGTGAGTAGTGTTCATTGCTTCTAGACCTTAAAGCAAGCTATAGGATCCTAGTAACTCATGTAATTTAAGTTTTTTTGTTGGTAATTATGTAATGTAAGTTGGCATGTACAGACTTATCCTTTTGGGGGGGTAAAACCTTTTTGTTGTCTCTTTCCTTCCTCTTTGCATAAGCTGTATGGCAAAAATCAAATCAAAGCTGTTAGGTATGTTCCTTGATCCTTTATTTAACATTTCATCAGGTGAAAAAAATACGAGATCCCAAGCAACAAATTGAGATGGTTGGTGTCCCGAAAGAGTACCTATCTTGTCATGCATTCCACATGTATCACCTGGAGTCACCTGATAAAATGTAATTTACGAACCATTGCTTTTGTGCTTCTCTGTTTGTCTTCCTAGTAAGCATCACTAACTATGTTAGATGTGTTTCCTTTTTTCAGAGTTTCTTTTGAGTTTCAGCATAACGTCTGTGGTAGATCAATCCCTGCGGAGGGTACAATTGATGCTGCAATTTTCCTTGCTAAGAAGGTGATAATGCTTGCTTCCTCAAAATGCATCGCTTGAGTAATACTTATTCATATAATTTAACCATTATTTTGGTTACAACTTTTATATACTTGTCTTTTTGCCCTTTGCAACGTTACATTTGTCAACTATAATCCACCAAATATATCAACGGTATATAATAGCCTTTTGGCAATCAATTAAAACTATTAAGAGTATTAAATAAAATATAACAAAACATGTATAAAAACTGCTGTTCTTATCAAATGCTCTGAGTTTCTCTTGCTGTTAAGTTAATTTCTGTTACTAGACTGAATTTGGAAATGTTGTGTGAACTCAGGTTCAATCAAAGGCGGACAAATTCATCTACGACGGGATAGATGTTTTGCTGGAGAGCGCCATGAGATGAAAGTGGTGTTCAACTTGCTCTGGAGACATAATAGTTTATGTGAGCAGTAGTCAAATGGAAACTTCAGATTGATTTTTGTAGGATGCACTTTCTTTTTCGTTGTTAACAACTTTGGATTGCTTGGTCAAAACTCGGGAAAGTTTTTTCTTAACAAATAGATTGCTTGTGCTCATTAGCTTTTACATCCAATCCCTTCTTTCAGCATCGTTACCTGTATCACTTGAAACTCTTCAATGGATTAAGAAATTGTACAGTTTAGAACAACTTTTTTTCCCCTCTTTTTCTTTCCAAGTTACAGTAGATGTAATCAAGAAATATGAACCCCAATATCAGCCAAAGATTAGTCTGCAGAGAACTTCAATTTCAACCTAGAGTTGTGTAATCGAGTTTAAAAATTCATGCGTTGTAGTGCCAAGAGTGAGTTTAGGTTGAATTCGTTTGATATAATATTTGTCTCTTGATTGTTTGTTTCGGACACTTTGTGTAGAGAGGGAGAGAGAGAACCTGAAAGCATCGTCGATCAACGGAAGAAGGGACGAGGTTGGGCCACCATGAGTTTACAGCATTCTTCAACAATTTTATGGGTATTTTTTTTTTAAACAAATTCTCAGTTTCGTCTTCTGATTAGACAGTCATTCCACAATCCCCTTTTCCTTTCCTTTTTTTTTTTTTTATCTGTATCTTTCTTTTTTCATGTCCAGTGGTGGCCCAATACAAATTGAGGCCTAAAACAAGAATTTTACATGAAATTTTATTTAATATTTTAGGAAGATAATAATTTTTTTTTAAAAGTATTAGACATTTTATAAAAAGTTGCGATATATTTTTGTTTTTAGGAGTTTTGAGATCGGACGAGATCAAACAATAAATTGAGTGCAATTGTAAAATCAGAATGATACACATTAATAAATTGAACAAAGACTTAAAGTGACAATAAGAAAGTTAGAGTTAATGATAAAGAATCAAAGTAAGACAATGAGAGTGGGAGGGAGCGAAAGAGTTGAAGAGAGGTTGAGAGTCAAGTAAAAAATAATGAAAAAAATCGAAAAGGATTGTAACTTTTAAAATTAGAAGTCATTATTTTTATATATTTTTTTAGACTGATTTGTCATATTTTAAGACTTTCTGTAAGGTTTATGTAGAGTTGTGAAATTGTTACATTTTAAAATTTTTTATAAGATTTTATATAGACTTATGAAATATACTAGGCCTTTAATTTTGTCCATTCAAAATAGTCTTATAACATGAAGTTGAACTAAAACTGAAAATTAAATTGGGGCCATAAATTTTTGGGGCTCTAAGCGACTATTTTAATGGTTGGGCCCTAGTGTTGGCCCTGATGTCACTTCTTCCATCCAAAGGATCGAAATGTTTGCGCATCTCACAATAATTATAATCTATACTCGTCTTTTACTGTTGGGTCTTTGCTCATGAAATCGATTAAATAAGACAAATTGATTACTGAATGATACACAAGGATTAAATGTAATAAATGTGTTATTCTATATTTTATACATTTTTTAAATTTGTCAAATTATGTGTAGACCGTTATAAAGTACTGTCATAGTAAAGATGTTCAATGTTACAACGTGATATCATTTAATTTTTTTATTTATAGTAATTTAGGCATCTAAGATATATTAAACATTACATATATATTATTTAATACACATGTTATCTGCATACAACTGTTCAATAGTATAATTCATAGGAATTGTAATTATATAGATCATCTTGACTAATTACACATTTTTTAGCAAACAAATCTGCACATCTGTTTATCTTTCTTATCTCTTGCTTGATCCACACTTTTTGGGATACAATCTATTATTTCATTACTGTTTTTATGTTTTTTTTATTTGTTTTGTATGTTGTTCATAAAAATTGTGATATTACATGATCGATTATCAGTATACATTTGTAATTTCTTGTTATTGAATTATTTTACTATTTTTTTTATGATTCTTAACTTGTGTATGTATTCAACGTTCACCTACTATTTTATTGTGTTTTATTTTTCCCGATAATAAATTTATTGAATTTTTTTTTGATATTAATTACTTTTTATTGTGGGTCCTTTATGAAAATAAATAATTTAATTAGTTGGTAATTTTATATTTAAATTGGAACAAAATCAAGTTTGAGAAAAATAGAAAATGTGTTTGATTTTTTTTTTTTTTATAGAAGAGATATGCTTATTATATTTTTTTATCCAAGTGTGACCCTTTTTCTCTGTCATTTAAAATGTGTATGTGTGAAGTGGACTATACTTTTAAATCTAAATTTTAAATTTTATTTTGTTTACTTAATTTTCCAAGTAGGGGTGTTCGAATTTTTTCATATATCTTTTAGGGTATAAATTGATATTTTTAAATTTTGAGAGTATAAATTAAGATTTGACGAAATTTTCTGGGTGCAAGTTGAGATTAACCCTACATGTTAATTTGTGCACAAAAATCCTAAAATTCTTAGTGCATCCTCCTCCTTCGAGTCTCGGAGACTCTCGCCACTTTCATCTTCTTCTTCTCAGTTGATTGATCCCTAGCGCTTCCTCCTCTTCGAGTCTCAGATACTCTCGCCTCTCTCGCTCTTTCTCGTGTCCCGACTTGTGCATAAATATATTTGTTTTTTTGTAGTGGAATTGGTGTTGCAGATTGCAGCAAAATAATGTAACACTAAGTTAACTGTGCCAATATTATCACGTGGAATAATGGTCTACTTATAGATAAACAAATTAATAAATGAATCTTATTAAAACTCATAATCATCTAGTCATCTCAACACATGTCCTTTAAAGTAATGGTTAAAACACAAATGTCAAATAAATATAATCACAAGTTATCAATCCCATCCATGGGTGGAGGGAGGTAGGGGCCACGATGGGCACGCGCTTCCCTCAATTTTTTTTTTTATTAATTAGATATATGTATTATATATTTATATATATATATTGTGTGCCCCCTCATTTAAATTAGACCCACATTATTTCCTCAAAATAATTAAACAATTAAGTCTATTTAAAACAAAAAAAATTGAAATCACTATTATCTATTCAAATTTATTAAAAAATCAAATATTTGATCTATCACAATCCACCCAAACCTATTAAAAAACAAAACTTTTGGCCCAATATTAAAAACAAAATTTTTGGTCCATCATCATTAAAAAACAAAATTTTTGGCCCACTTGACTAAAACCTATCTTATCTTTTTTTTTTTTTTTTCTCTGTATCACCCACTTCCAGCTGCCCACTACCCAGCCACAAGAAAAAGAGAAGAAACTGAAAAAAGCTCAACACACGAGAAGCTTAGTTTTTTGAGTTTTTTTTGTCATTCTTTGCACCAACCTATAAAATTATTTTATAAATTATATTTTTCCCCTAATTTTTGGAAATTTTAATAATGGTTCTAGTCTTTTTTTTTTTAATAAATTAGTGGACCACTAACCCTCTAAAATAAATATGTTATTTTTGGATTGAGTCAATGTTTTATTTGTATATTGACGAAAATACAATATTTCTCTTTATCTAACACAATATTCGTTACTTTTTAAAAATGATTTTTAGTTTTCATTTAACATTTTTTTTAGTATTAGTAGTCTATAACCTAATAAAATACGAAAATTAATTTACATTTAATTCATATACAAAAAATTTTAGAGATTTTAAAAAATTTTATATTTTATTGAAATATATATTTTATTGTGTCTTTTTGTTAAGATTTTGTTTCGACTAAATAAAAATTGAATTTAGCATTTCACAATAATTTAGTGTTGATTCTTACTTTTTTTTTTATTCTTGAACTGAATTTTTTTGTATTAATTTTGATTTAATATTTTTTTATATCAATTATATTTTGCCTCTATCATAAATATTCATGGCTCCTCCCCTGACAATTTACATTTTTTTTTTTGGAAATTTTTATGTTAAATGGACTTCATGTATCAAGTATAATATAATAAATATAAATATGTTATATAGTGTGATTGGTCAGAAAGAAAAAAATTAGAGTACATAATTAAAATGCCTACTCTGAATAAAATTCCTGGCTCCGCCCCTGATCCCATCAGTTAAACTTGAGTTTTATACTATCAAAAAAACTCAAATTTAGAATGTGTAAATTTACGTCTAGTTACTTCCTCGACCACTAAACCGAATCGTGTAGGTAGGGTTTACTATGCGATATTGTTTATCCATAAAGCTGTTTTTTTTTTTAAGCTGATGAAAGTTTGCACCCTCTTTTACAAAAGATCAGCACAGCCACTTTCTATCCTCTAACCAGAAGTACATTAATGGTGGACATACAGCTCATGCCAACGTTACCTTCACCTTTTCCTGAAAATCTCTAGTTGCCTACGGATGAATTGATGTATCATAAAATGCAGCCAACCCAAAATTTGGACAGAAGAAGAGGACCCAGTATCTGAAGGATGAAGTTTCTATCTAAAGCAATTTAATTTAGCTTTAATTTACAAAGCAACAAATCAGACCAGAAAGCAAGTACGTTAAAGTGATATGCTCACATCATATCATGTGTTATTGCTTTTTATATATTGTTTAGGGTTAGTTTGTTTTTTGGGAAGAGTTTGGATTGACTTGTTTAAATTCTTCCAAACCTAAAGATGAGATTCAAAGACGAGATTCAAAATTTAATGTTATTCATACTCATGTTTGATATGCGCAGGGATATATGATTATTATGATAATATATTTGTATATAAATAACTATTGTACCCCTTAACCAATTTAATCTAAACATGAGTATGAATGTATGGAGGGTATAAATGTCATTTGGATGTTAAACCCATTAACCCACCCCCCATGGGTTTCATGAAACCAATGAACTTGGGTTTCATGATCGAAATCGGACTGGATCTCAAACCCTAGAGTAGATGTGTATTTGCTATAAACATGGGTTTGAGGAAATTTATTTCCCAACTCATGTTTCAAAACCCCCACACCGAACATGCCCTCAGTGCACAAGTTTTTTAATCATTGTATTTTTAGAAATAGTCGATTATATATATTATTATCCCACATACAAAGGCACTATTTCATAACTCGAAATTGTGACGTCCACAACTTCGGGATAGGTTTGTGTATATATCGCTACTGTACATGTGAAGATACTATTTTCATAATTCAAAATCATAACGTCTAGTTCTCAATAGAGTAACCTCATGTTAATTTTCTTTTATCCCTCTTTTGAAACAATTATTATTCTATGAATTCTAAAACTTATCCCCAAGTATAGCATTCAAATCCATTGAATGGTTGGACCTATGAGTTGCAATAAAAAAATTCAATAAAATTCACTGAACTAACTATCCACATTGATCTAAGATACCCGATTTGAAATAAGTTTTGGATTCACATTTATTACTCCTTTAAAATCCGGCACTAGACAAGTTTTATTTTGATTTTTTTTTTCTGGATGATGAGCATAGGCAGAATACTTTTTATGTTCTTATCGGATAAATTACACAATTTTATCATCCCTCATCTTGCTTTCGGCTGAGGCCTAGTCAGCCAAAGTGATGTTCATTCTTTTTGAAAGAACAAGAGATTTTATCAACATATTAGGCCACATGGGTTGGTCCCATTGCTAGGAATATTGAATTCAAACAAAGGTGGTCATGTCATGTTTATAATATCAATAGAAATGTCAAAAAGCAGCCGAATACATGTTTTTACCCTAAAGACTTTGAAGGATTCATACCAAACTATTAGGGTCGATTTAAAATTTTTAAATCCTAACAAATTATACCTTATCCTACATATTTTCGATACGATATCAAATGGTATCATAAACTTTTCCATAGGTCTACTCATTGTTTTACATCCCTATTGGTAATTTTGAATCAATTTTCATTTGAAATGGACAATAATCATTGATGGATATTATCATGATTGTAACGGATATGCCAGGTTGAAGACATTGTCAGTAGAGAATCATTATCTCCGCTTTCCATAAAGTTTTTGCAAGGCCAAGAAACAGAAGCATATAGGAAAAAAAGTATATCTTACCTTCTATATCTAGAGGTATAGGAATATGGTTGGAAAAGCTTTTCAATATGTAATTTAAAAAATAATAATTTGTGCTCATAGATCGTTAATTTGTAAAGTAATTAAATTAAGATTTTATTAATTAAAAAAATAAAATATTATATTAAAAAATAATTTCTTGGTATCATAATTGGACCCATGCAGACACTATTTGCATGACTGAAATTATGATACTGAGATCATAATACAACTTTGCGTCACCCTCGAGACCAAGAGACACAAAACCAGAAGAAAATTATTATAAAAAAAAAGGGTCTGGGTTGCACTGTTGAACTTTGTTGATTACTAGCACTATATAGTGAGAATTTTATTTTCCTGTCCATCTATATGACACTCTGAAGGCAAGAGTCCTTATACATGTATGGGAATTTAGCCATGGATCTTTTCGTGTAGCAGTGAAGATTAATAAATGTCAAACTCAACTTTCTAGATTGAAATAAAAAACTGTCGCATGATGAGAGAGAGAGAGAGAGAGAGAGAGAGAGAATCTGTTTAGCAACTGTACTAGCTTACACTTTCTAGCCATTACAAACCAGGGGGGTTGTTTACCCAATCAGCCACCAGGCCTTTGCCACACCAATTGAATACGACATGCGGTGTACATGGGTGCCACCCCCACTCCATCCCATCCCATCCCACCCCTGCTTTTTGTGTTTGTTTGTGCATATGCATATGCATATGCATACCCATGTGCCTTGCCACTTGCTAAATGCTGTGTTAGCTTTGTATTCTGAGCCATTTTTTTTCGAAAAAGTAAATCAATTTAAAATAGCAACATGGTCGATTCTTCCTACTGTTGAGCGGCACGACATTTCCAAATTTCATTCTTCATCATAAAGTAACTACTTTATCATTGCCGAACATCGAATTCTTTTACTTTTTTCCCTCTTTCCCTCTCCTCCGACCTTTATCTTCATCACTTTTTCATCTCTCTCTCTCTCTCTCATGGCCATCTTTCCGATTCTATATGCTTTGTCTTTTAAACCCTGCCCTTGTAAAATTCTCATTAAAAATCCATTTGGGTCTCTTCCTAAACCCAGAAACACCCATCGTTATAATGGCTCGAGGAGCTTCCAAATGCCTCTTCTTATTCTTTCTCTTTATTCTTATTGTCTGCTCTTCAGGTAAGTACTTCATTTCAGTCATCCTTTAAGAATTTAATGTGAAAGCAACAACATATATGCATTATGTGTGTGTGTGTGTGTGTGTTAAGCCATAAATGACTTATTAGTTTTCCAGTTTTTTAATAAGAAACACTTGTTCAATGCAAGAAAAAAAAAAGAAAAAAGGTAATCTACCAGAAGTTTCTTAGACCACCAAACATGAAGTATGAAACTATAAAGACAGATTTTTTCTCATAATTATTTTCTGGTTGTTTGTGGGGTTTCTTATTATTTCCTGATTGCTGATAGATCAGCACTGTAATTTTAAACTAGTAGTTGTTCTTGTACCACTAGAAAATCTAATTTGTATATTCCCTCATTATCTTTTTCTTCCTTACAGGAACTCTGGTGGGTTTCTTCTATGATGCAAGAAAAAGCAATGAAATTTTATCTCCTACTGAAACAATATCATTCCTTAAACTCAACAAGGTCACCCCATCTCAGATCAAGGTACTTGTTGCAGATCACAGGGTTTTAGATAGTTTATCCAACACTAGTGTGTTTGTTGATCTCTACTTGAATAAAACCCAAGCTGAGAATCTGAGAAATTACAAACCCTCTGCAATTTCATGGCTCAAAACCCTTTCAACAACCTACCTCCCACATGTACACACCAAAAGTGTCGTAGTGAGTAGTAGAAGGAATGACTTGCCAGGAGAGTTGCTTGTGCTTTTATCAACATTGAAATCAATCCATTCAATGCTCGGTAGTTTTCGACTTGATACAGAAGTGAAACCGTCCGTGGCACTACCCCTGTCGTTCTTAGAAAACTTGAATGGGAAACACGAAGGAGACCTGCATAGAATTTTTGATTTCATCAATAAAACTAGGTCCTTCATTACTGTTGAAGCAAGTATAGATGGAGAATTGAGTATGGGAGATAGATTTGTTGAATTGGTGATCAAAAGAGCTACCTTGGCTGCTTCTGTTTTTCCTGATGATGTTGTTTCAATGGTTTTGGCAATTAAGAGCTCTGCAGTTCCTAGTGCTGTGGAAGTAGCTGAATTTGGTGATAAGATTTTGAAATCATTGAAGAACAGCCCTCAAATTAAAGGGAAGATTTCTGGGTTGTTTGTAGAAGTATCTCCAATTAAAGAATTTGAGCAGAAAGAGCTCAAAAGGGAAGAAGAACAGATATTTCATTCATCGCATAGAGAACTCCTCGACAAATTTAACTACAGAATAACTCAACACGACTCGATTAATCCACCTACCACAATATTTCCTACAACTCCCATAACGAATCCTGTGACAACGCCAGTCACTGTCCCTCCGGATAGCTCAGCCCCAACAGTTGTTACCATTCCATCTACCAATCCTGTCACAGTAACGCCAAATCCGGCTTCCACTCCTCTGACAGTTCCCTCCACCAACCCCGTCCCTGTACCTTATACAAGTCCAATTGACTCACCGGTGCCAATCACCAATCCTGTTACAACGCCAAGCACAAATCCAGGGGCGCAACCAGTCACCAACCCTGTGACTACTTATCCACCATCAGGAGGTGTTCCTGTCACGACCCCAGTCACAGTCCCAGTGACACCCCTGTAACAGCCAATTCTCCAGCAGTTCCAGGGCAGAGCTGGTGTGTGGTGAAGAGTGGTACATTAGAGACTGCACTTCAGTCGGCACTTGATTATGCCTGTGGAATTGGAGGAGCAGATTGTTCGACTATCCAGCAAAGTGGGAGCTGTTATAATCCGAATACTCTGCAAAATCATGCATCATATGCCTTCAACAGCTATTTTCAAAAGAATCCAACACAATCCAGCTGCGACTTTGGGGGCACTGCCATGATTACCAACGTCAATCCAAGTAAGCAAAAAAATTATCTTGATGAATCTGTCTTCCTTTCTTACAGAGGCTTGCAACTGTTGCACAAATATGCTTAAACAAATCAAAAACCGTGCCTTATTTACTTCTGAATTATGTACAGGCAGTGGTTCTTGCATTTACCCATCCTCATCCGCGTCTTCTTCGTCACCAGAATCTCAAACACCAACACCAACAACAACATCAGCATCACCAGCATCTCAAACACCAACACCAACAACATCATCTTCCGGGGCAGCAGTGCCAGGGTAAATGTTCGATTCTCATGACTATTAAAACCTTGCACCATATTAGTACAGGAAATAACTTTAGTCATCATTATTTCTTCAACCTTAATTGGCAGATCTGGTTCTGCTCCTACAGTGTACCCAAGCACCCCTGCTTCAGGCACCACATTAGGTTTTGGTGACGGCCCTCCCAGTGTGAACGCCTCAACATCCACATCATCTGGGTTGCAACCCATTATCGGTTGCATCACTCTGGTAACGTCAATCATCACAGGGACACTGATTCTGAATATGTAAAGACAGTTTTTCCGTGCACATCAACGGATCAAAAGCCTTTAGCTTTTGCCCACAGCCAGGGCTTTGGCTGATCAAGCCAGTGTACAGCTGTGAGGTTCCTTAAGGTCTAGTTCTCACACACCTCAGCAGTAGAGATGCTAATTGCTGTAGATACAGTTTGTAAATGATCTACTTTTGCATGTACTGTTTTACATCTTAGGGTACTATGTATCTTTATATCTACAAAGTGGGGCATTTAGGTTGGCTGCTAATTCAGGGGTTTCCAATCCCAAGTCTTGTAGAAGAATTGAGTTTGTAATCCTTATGGGCAGGAATGTTTACAATAATAGTCAATAGCCTTCGATATAACTTATATGGTCGGTGATACTAGATTATCATCGACACGTTATAATCATCTAATAACAAAAGATTATATAAACATAACAAACTCCACATGACCAATACCATCGCATCCAGTATATACATATAACATCACAAACCACGATGATGACTTAGTACCACCATTGTAACAATTGTTTTTTTCATAATTGCTGCTTTGTCTAAAGTGTTATTACAGCTCTTCACAGCATATATGCATTGGATGCCATCTATACTGACAGCTCAAAAATTCAAAAGACAGACTCAACTAACAATTTTTTTTTTTTTCATAGTGACCTCCATGGCTCCATTAAGAATACACTGGAGAATTCTAGGTAAAAAGCTAAAAAATCCAGCATACTGAAGATAAGTTTGCAAAAGGGATTGAATATTATGCTTTGAATACCACCAACTACAGACAGGAATAAACAAATTTACATAATTAAGGTATGCATTTCAATGATTTCAATTCAAAATAGTAGACACACGACAGCAACCACCAGGATCAATTTTAATAATCGTACCAACAAAAAGAGGGTTGCAGCTGTGACATAAAAAATGTAAAACACCCCTAGCATCTAGCATCTACAACTGTCTCTAATCTCCTAAAGTTGACGTCTAGGTATCCAGGGGTTTTTATACAATAACCTAAAATAACACAGTATCATTACCGCTTTGAAAACAATACTAGGATCAACATCGACATGGAAACCACAATCTTAAACCGAGAGCTTTCCCAGAAATTTTGCTTCTCAAGACCAACAAATCCATCCTGTTGCTTTGTTGCTAACTGATCTCTGAGTTCCTTCAGTGCTTTGTCTCGTCGTTCACCCATCTGTCAATGAAATGAATAATCAGAGAAATCTAAAATACATTAGAGGAAAAAATGACTCATAACAGCATCAAAAACTAATGAGCATGGGAAGGTTAAAGATATTGAGAACTGTGTATTTTGGAGCAGGAATTTATCTGCTACATTCAGGCAAATTTTATTCTTTGGGTTTTTCAGTAGCAAAAAGAATAAAAATTATGAATAAAACAACTCTAGTTGCCACCAGGATAATTTGCATGGTAGAGCACCTAAACCTGCCACTCGCACAGATATGCAGGCAATTCAGTGATGGGGGCCAGAGTTTGTACACACAAGAAGCTAGATTTGAAGCATGGAAATTTTGAGTGACTGAACTGAGTGGGGCAAATTGAACACTAATATGAGGTTGTGGACCATTTGGTCAACAAGAACATAACGCTGCTCATATAGGTTTAAAATCAAGAACCCAGGTTTCAGTTCTAATGCCAATGAAGAAAACTCAACCAGCCCTACCCAAGTGAATACTTAAGATGCATAAAAAACAATATGCTTTCTCTTGTGGCTATGAACAACTAGAATTACCCTTTGGAGCTTGCGTGTTTGAGCACGGGCTTCCTGGAGACAGAACTCTAACTTTAAAACCCTTTTTTTCAACTCCTGATCAGCCCTCCGATGCTTCTCCAGCTGTTTGATAAACAAGTTAAATCTCATAAATAAACAAGAACTATGCATTTGACAAGTAATTAATTTTAAGAATTTCAATGGAAGAAGGATCAAGAGTCAATTGAAAAAGCAAATGAAGCTGGCTCTACCTGTGATTCCAATTCCTTAGTTTTAAGCTTCCAGTGAGCAGACATAATCCTGATTTCATCTCTCAGCTTAGCTATTTCATCGTCCTTAGCAGTCAGAAGCTTATTCATCTTCTCAAAATTCCTTGGGGAAACCTCATCTAGTATCTTTCTCAGCTCACAATCTTTGCTTGCTCCAGCTTTCGCTAACGCTTCCATTATATCATGCTCAATTCTTAAGACTTCATCTTTTAGTTGCTTCTGGGAAAATTCCCTTAAATGTAGATCCTTTTGCAAAAGATCTAATTGTTCTCCCATCCTATTTACACGAAGCTCATGCTCTTTTAGTGAACTATTTTTCTCATCTAATTCCTTTAACAGTGCCAAACACTGAAGTTGTGCAGACTGAGCTGATACAGCACTCGCATCTGCAGTTGCTTGAGTGGCTGACAGCTGTGATCTAAGATAATCCAAATCATTGAGGTACTGCATTGCACAAAAATAAAAAATATATTAAAAAAAAAAACAGCATCACCTCAACAAAATTTAGGATCACATAGTCGGGATAAAATAACTGCAAACACATGGGCAATGTAACGATTTAAAAGAAGTTGCAATCCACATAGATCAATGTAGGACTTACAGTTCGTCCTTAGATAACCTATACAGCCAATAGGCATATTGAACTAAACCAAACAACAATTGGTGCACATATGGTATGATATATATGACGGTTAGCATGGAATAATGCATTTGTTTGAGGGGGTCTGGAAAAGAAAATAGGGTCCAAAATATACGTATCCATGCCCCATGAAGCTTGAATGTTTTTCCTGAACTTGAAGAAAATTAATACAAAACTGTTCCCAAAAATTGAGCATCAAATAATTAAATATCATTAGTTGTAAGTGCTATATCCATGATTTTTTTTAGGAACCGATGTAGTTGATTACTTATGTATAACTTGGTTCATTTTTACATACAATTATTCCATATTTTGTTATACTGTTAAATATAAAAATAAATTGTAGGAAAATATATAAAATATACACAGAATGTGTAGCCTGATTAATTACACAATACAATCAGATAACCCATATGTTGGTATTAATCCTGTCTGCAGCCATAAAATTGTAGTTATAGTAGTCAAAACTTGCTTTTTACAACCAAAAAGAATCTTCCAGTCTTCAATTTTATTTGACTTCTACACCCATCACATGTTTCGTATTGACTATTCATTGTCTGAAAAAGGGATTGCTTAAATGGGTATTGACTTCCTCAATGCACACAACTTTAGAGTGTTCCAAGCACAAATGAAATTATGCTCACTTTCCCCACATATAATATACATTGGCTTTGAAGAATGACATTGATACTGCTACATTTTTGGGAGGCAGGCATTGGTATCATTAACAACATTGAAGACACAAGGCATGCTACAATGTTCAACATGTTTTAAGGAAATACTTGCCAAGAAAATCTTTTTACCTACCAAACACACTAGTGCTGTTAGACATGCTATTTTTTTCATTCAACCAAAGTAATTAACGGTCCTAAATAAGGGTGTTTTGAAAAACATACACAACTAAAGGATATTGGTGGACAAACAACGCAAAGTTCAAAGTAATTCAATGGTCAATTTCCATTTGGGAAACATCTCATTCCGCTATTACTTACTATGACCACTGTTTGAACACCCAAGACAATGGGAACAATTTTCCTCAGAATTAGAATGTGGAGATGGCAAATCTTGCAGCTAAACGTTTCATGTTTGAGGGGCAGAAAAGGTAATACAGTGCCATACAACTGTCAGCAATTGGAATTAATGATCCGAGTACCTAAAAAATCAAAGGCAAAGGGATATAACCTTGGTAGCCCAAATCCCTCTCAAACAGCCAGTTAAAAGCTACCTAATAAAAGATATAACTCGATGCAAATGATTTCATGAAAATTCTGTATTATAGTTAGTTACCTCCTAAAAAAGAGAAGCTTCATAGGTCTTGCTGCACTCTGTGAGAGAGAGAGAGAGAGAGAGAGTGAGAAGCTTTTAAAAAATGTAGGGTAACGGCTTCTTTTGGCAACGATGTCCACTAGAAATGATACCCCTAATCATGTAACATCATTTTTTCATTGAAAGTGATTTCTAGTTCTCCACTACTAAAAGTTAAGACCCCAGGTGGGAGGTGGATTCAACGATGTAATCTAAAGCTTGAACAGAAAATTATCAAAGATTTTTTCTGTAGAACAAATTCTCAAAGGCGGATATATTTGATCTAACTTTCGACATCTGAAAGACACTATTACAGATCTTCGAATGATTTAATCTGTAAATTTTGTTGAAGATGCTTCCACTGCCAGATGGTTGTGATAGATGAAGACAAATTTGTTGAACCGTTCAAACTACAGAACTATAAAGTAAGACAACAATATATTATTCGTACTTGGATTATATTCCTACTGATCCAAAAACAAGCAAGAAAAGCCAAAAAGGTAACCCCAAAAAGATATATAAGATTCATGTCAATGGATCAAATAATGGTCTTTTAATAACCTGAAATGGGAAAATTTTAACACAACCTAATCAGATCAAATTACGCAATAATGCAAAGAACCCAAAAGGCAAATTATACATTGAAATCAAGAAATAATATTTACTAATCAAGAACGGGAAAAAATTGAAACCTTTTCTGCATATGATGCTGCAGTTTGAACCTGCTCGTTCCTCTCCTCTAAGCTCTTCTGCAATTTTGAAATCTCTTCTTCCATGTTCTTCGCTTTGGTCTCTGCTTCCTGCAAAAATCCCCAAAAATCGTACGATTTCAACATTCAAATTACAAAATTGAAGGGTCCCACAAACAAGAACCACTTTTGTAGAGAAGAACAAAAGGTCGGAATGATTTCATTTCAGGTTACACAAAACGCAAATCATTCATACAAATAAACAAAGGATATATCATTCAAATACACCAAAGATCATGCCTGTCTAGTTAGGGTTTCACGAGCAAATGACTGCTCCTGCGATGCAAGACGGCTTCTAACGTCCTTGAGCTCCGCCGCCAGCGACACCACGTTCCGACGGAAGCTCTGCTTTTTGTCACTCAGTCCTTCAACAACGGATCAATCTCTCTCACCGGCGATGACGACATCACTGGCCTAATCTAAATCCAAGTTGACTATAATTTAGGCGGGTCCAAGGATCTGATACTGAGTACATACACTGTATCAAGCCCTAGCTAAAGCGAGCTTTCTACGACCTTACAGTGAAAGCTATCCGCTTATCAATCTGCATGTGAACACGTTACCGACGCATTTAATTCGAACACCAAAAAATTCAGAAGGAAAGAGAAACGGTAACTTTTATGGTACAGCCAGCAAAGCTTTGACGATTCGTGTTTCAAAATTCAAACCCGTTCGAATTTAGAAAATAAATTAATTTTTATAATACACCATCACTTAACCTCAACCGAGAGAGAGAGAAAATATGTCAAAAATTCAAACTGATAAGAGCCACATGGTTTTTAACATGAAGAAAACAAATAAAAAAATTGTTTTCTGAAGCAAAAACACTACAAAAAAAATTGAAAATGATACATACGACTGAAAGCTTTCAAGTCAGAATCCAGAATCACAGCGAAGCACAGTTTTAGAGAGATAAAGTGTTTTAGAGAGAAAGAGATGAGACAAATGAAGCAGATGCTTTGTGAATCTCCGATTCAGCTACCACTACTTCAACCACATCAAGAAATCACAGCAAAAGTGTTTTACAGAGAAGATGAGAAGAGAGGCGTAGACAGAAGAAGCTATGTGGTGTGTGTGTGTGTGTGTGTGTGAGAGAGAGAGAGAGATGTACAGATAGGATGAGACAAATATCATATATGAAACACGAACGGAAATGGAGGTCGACGTAGTATTTGAAGGCGTGGATTGCTCTGATTTGAGTAATCGGACGGTTGAAAATGGGAGCCGAGAGAAGACCAAGGGTCCGAGCGTTACTTATTGTAGAGTTTCTCACTATGGACCCTGTAATTGAGCGACATGTCTAAGCAGAGACAGAAATAAGGTCTGAGGTTCGGATTTGAGGATTACGCTGTGTGGTTTTGGTTCGGAGTGCCAGTGCCTCGGACTTGTGAAAAAGACAAAGTCCGAGGCTGGGTGTGGTTTTGACTTCAGCGCGGCAAATCTGAAATTTTCGTCTACTAAATAAATGTCGCCACGTGCCCTCGATTTAGCATGGATGCGAATTGCCAAAGAATAATGCTATAAGGAGTTTATTTAAGTATTTAATTTAGGGATCTAATAACGTAATTTTAACGCAATTATTATATTAGTTGTGAATTTTAATATTAGATAGAATTTATAATTAATTCAATAATTGTATATTATTAGATTCTTAAATTAAGTTTAAATATTATTTTTTATTAAAAAATCAATAATATTATTTAAAAAATAATAATATTTAAACATAATTTATTCATCTAATCCATAACAATCTTAGACTGATTGCGAATCTAAATTCTAACATATACCGTAACCCACCGTTAGCAAAACTCCTACTGGAGCCTAGCAAACTATATCCAAACAACATTATGTTACAAAATTATGAAACGTTTGTCGTGTGTAAATTATGAATTTAATTGCATCAACATCCTCTAAACTTCTATTAAATCTAATTATTACCATAAATTGCTATGAGTCATATTATCAAGTTCTTTTTTTTGATGTAAAGTGACCTTCTCATGTTCTAAATTTTGATAATTGGTTAAAAGGTGGGGTTATTTCCACACCTAATCAATCCCCACCCCTTTTCTATGCAAACCTCTATGCGATGCCAATTTTAACAATGTTACATTCACCAAAATTTTTACCAATATTTGAGTCTCAAATCAATGTGAATCATATGATCAATGGATCCAATAAACTTTAACCATCTATCCAATGGCTGTTAATGTGTTGCACCACTTGGGATCTAAAATTTGATAAAAATTTGGGTGAACACAACATTTTTCTATTTCCACCCATATGTTTTGAAGCTCAAAATTATGTTTTTACATACATTGTTATTCCGGGAGAAAGGAAATTCAATCTTCCTTTACGATTATACACATGGAGACCAAGACACCATACCTAGAGGGGGTAAATAGGTTTTCAAATTTAGCTCAAATGAATTAACAATTAAAACCTAAAACATCACAATTATCTCTTCCCACAAAGATTAAACAAAGAATGTGAGAACCCCTTTTAAACAACATAACCCAATTTAACCATGACGATTGATTTTTATTAATCTTGAATTAATTTGATCAAAAATTTGCGAGGAGGTCCCAAACTCAATTGTACGACTATAGGGGATATGATATCAAATAATCAAAAATATTAAACACATAGCGTGCATGTGTGCTAACAAATCACAAGTATATATGATAGAAAGTAAAGAACACTAGTAATTTATTACGCGGAAAACCAGCTTTGAAAAAAATCGTAAGAACCTCTTGGGTTTACCAAAGTCTAATTCACTACTCTCAAAGTCAATATACAAGTACTCGAGACTTATGCCTCAATTAATACTATTGTTAGATGCTCCTTTAATTGTTGTGTCTCTTCATCGAAAGTCCCTCTCTGACTTCTACTGTAACTTCATTTGGACCTCCTCGCCGCACGTTTCATCTATGCCTTGAGCAATTATGAACACACCAACAATTCTCATATCAATGGGTTTTTCACCCAACAAGTTCTTCAACACCAATTCAAGAGATAGAATCATTAGTGGTAGCCTTTGCATCTAAGAGATCTAGGTTATAGTGGAAGCTCTCAAGATAAATGAATGAATATCTTTCGTTGAAATCTTTGTAGAGGCTCTAGAGGTTTAACCTAAATGTGGGAAAGACTCTCCCTATTTATAAGTCCAAAATAAAGGGTAGTCTTAGTAAATAAGAAAACTCAGATTCGCAAATGATCACTCGATCAGTAGAAGGGTGGTTATAGGGCAGTTGTCGTTGGAGTGAAAATAACGTTTCAAATATGACTAAAGCAAGCACCATTCAAGTAACCATGAGATTGCTCGAGGGAGCCCTGTACTGCCTTCCATGGCCTTTTTTCATTTTTTTCTAAATCATAAAGAGACTGCTCTAACAAAGGCTAGTGCGCATAGATCGGTCCCTGCAGGTTTTTAAATCTAAAACCATATAAAAACTTCTCTTCTTTAGCACTAAAGGGTGTTACTCAAAAAAGAAGTTTGATTGTGACTCAAACTATATTTTTAAAATATAAAAATGGTTTAGAAATTTTTTTTCTTTTAATATCACTTAGGAGTCATAATTGGATCGCTTCCTAATTCCATTTTCATCCTAATCATCTTAAGTTAAAATAACTAAGATTTCATCTTAAGTGTCCATGTCAGTACCTTTGTTCTAAGCATGAAGGTGCATACAAAGGTTGAATGATGTTGCTTTTACACTTGATCTTCTTTCTTCAATTACATTTTTGGATCTTAAAATTTATAGCATCATGATCATGGAATAAGTTGAGATTTTACAATAGATTCCACAAAATTAGTTAATTACAAATATGATCTAACAATCTTCACTTTTGGCAATTTCATGACAAACATACAAAAGTTAAAAATTAAGATTACAACTCAAAACTATTGAACAAAAAAATTGTAAACTAATCTTAACTCTCATGTATACATCCTAAATCTCTATGTAGTACAAGGATCTATTTCTTTTGATGAAGCTTGAAGATCGTAGTCTTGCACACCACCACTCAAACCAAAACTTCGTGACAAACATCATATGTTAGAAAAATACATAACATAATAACAAGTATAAAAAACAACAAGTTAAGCATAGGGTATAAATATGTATACATCATGCAAGTACAAATATGTAATAAGTTAGAAATTAACTTGCTCAATATGCTTGGAACCTATTAATCTATCAATATGAAACACATCAAGTTATCCTCCTTAGTTTGTGTTTATAAGTAAAATAACAAGTGAAAAATAAACAAAGAAAAATGTTACTTCATGCCAAGTTTGCAATTTTACTCCTCCTGAGCCCCTGAGTATTAGAACAAACTCTCATTTTCTATATTCGCATGCAGTACATCTAGTATAGTCAAGAGTAAATTTTTACGATTTCTCCCAATGTTTCTAAAACATTTTCCCCCTTTTTATCACAAATGCCAACATACAACAAACACAATATAGAATCAAGTTACCCAACATATTCTTATCTTATTTGCTACAGATTTCAATTTAATGACGACCTATAAAAATTATGACATATAATCATAGTATAACAAGAAGGTATGAGTGCATAAAACTAGCCAAATCATGCAAGTAAAGTAAGCAAAGGATAAACAAGACATATAACTCAAAGTCAAATATGATTAAGCATCAATGAACAAGACTAATAGTACGTCACAACAACAAAAAACTAGAGCTAAACAAATAAAAATCAACAAAAGATAAAAAGTCAAAAAGAAACAAAGTACTTTAATACATGTCATGAATGAATGTAAGAACACTCTCAAGTTCACATATGACCTATCCTAAGTCTCCAACAGTCATACCTCAAACGGCTACATCACCTCCATCTCTTTCGTCATGTTAGGGCATCTCTAGATCCGAATCCATGTCATCTAGCAGAGGCTCGCCTGAAATCTGCTTCCCATTCAACAATTTCCTGAGTTGCCCAACTCTATGAACAACTACTCCCATCACGGTCTACTTGGTCTCCTTTAAGCTCACATTCCCGCCATCTAGTACATCCAACCTCTAAGAAGTCAACTGGTAATGCTTAATCATGATGTACTCAACCCCTAGTCATCATATTAGCAAGTGATGCCATCTAGGCTTCAAGGATACATGAACTTGACTCAGGTGGTGGTGGTGTTCTAGATGTGCTAATCTCGGGATGCACTAGTGGGGCTTGAGGAGATACTAGTAATCAAAGATCCAAACGGTAGATTGTTTGATACTATTCCCTCTAAAAAGGCCAGTTGAATAAACTCAAATATCATCATTAACAAATCAAGATCAAATCTTTTCCCTAAAGCATAAAACATGTGTGCCTTTTGGGTAGGAAAGTCTGAGATATAGGTTTTTGGTTCTATGTTGTAATTGGTCACTACACTTGATATCCTATAATCTTGGGTTAAGTATTTTTGCTAAAAATTCAATATAATCCAATTATCAAGATGGTCAATATGGTACAACTCAGTGGCCAACACTTGCAAATGAGGCAAGTCTTCTACAAGTCTCTCACCTAGATTGTCGTTCTCTACCCTAGATAGGCCAAGTGTGGAAGCTATGAGAGTGGCAAAAAACATAAACTCAATACCTTGGATATATGTAATAAAATGGTCAACCTGAAGATCGGGATCATACCTTCCCGAAAAAAAAAAGAAGAAGATCGAGATCATGTATATGTGCATAAAACTCTCTCAACATGTTATCATCACACCTCATAGGGTCTGTAAATATCCAAGTTCATCCACGATTGGTTAGATTTACAACAACTGAACGATTGACCTCAATGGTGTTTACTCCCCTTTCAAGCTAAACTGGCCTGTGAGAGAATTCTCATCTAAACCTCTCTGCAAATTTCTAAGTCAAGAAGTGAGTAGCTTCATCGAAGTTCTCCTCAATCTCCTCGTATACATCCTCAACCTTGGGTTGTTTCGCTCTTTGTGGTGCCATCTTAGTACTCACTCGAAGAATCTAGATTTTCACTCGTGTGTATTCGTAGTAGAACGATGAATCAACCTTAGATCTCTGAAAAAAAGTTTGAGAAAGTTTAGAAACCTTGGGTTATGGTTATAGGAGGCTTAAGACTTGATTGAGTGGGTTTTAGGATACAAAAGGTCATCCAAAACAA